GTGGTTGCTATCCTTCTATCTATTTCTTCTGCGTTTCTTTCTTTATTAAAGGAAATTTGTTTGCCAAGATATATGTATTTATTTACGAATTCAAGAGGTATGTCGTTTACTAAAATAGGACTTATATGGTGGTTGGTCATCACTTTAGTTTTGTCTAGGTTCATCTCTAATCCAACTTTTGCGCTAGCTTTCTGTAGATCGTTTATCATGTTGTTTAGTTGATGTGGAGATTCCGAGAAAAGAATGATATCATCGGCAAACCTCAAATGACTTAGATAATTGCCATTCACTCTGATGCCTTGCGTCGACCACGGTAAGTTTTTCATTATGTGTTGAAGAACAGCTAAGAAAAGTTTTGGAGATATTGGGTCGCCCTGCCTAACTCCTTTATTAATGTTGATTTTGTCTCCTATTCTGTCTAGCTTGACCCTACTTGTACTATTGGAATATATGTTTTTTAATATGTTTATGTATTTTTCTGTTATGTTTATTGATCTTAATGCTTCCCAGATACTGCAGTGAGTTATGGAATCGAAAGCTTTTTTATAGTCAATAAAAGCTACATATAAGGGCCTACGAAATTCTAAATACTTCTCAATAACCTGGTCAACTACTTGGATGTGGTCCACTGTACTAAAGCCACTTCTAAATCCGGCTTGCTCGATTGGTTGGTATGAGTCAATGTCAGGGGATATTCTTTCCAGCAAGCATGAAGCGAACAGTTTGTATAGGCAGGGCATAAGACTAATTGGACGGTAATTCCCTATATCGGCCGGATCGCCTTTTTTGTAGAGTAGTATGATTTCAGACTCGGTCCATTGTGAGGGCACAGCTTCTTCTTCTAATATTTTATTCCATAGAATGGTGAGTGGGGTTAGTAGTAGGTTTCTCGCAGTCTTGATGCATTCATTTGTAAGTCCGTCAGGGCCTGCGCTTTTGTCTAGTTTTAGTTTCATTATGTGTTTTAGGATTTCGGGTTCTGTGAATTCTGTAAAAGGTGAATTTTCGACTGTTCGGCTACCCACATATGTTTGGTTCAATGAGTTTGGGTGGCTATACAGTTTTGTATAAAACTCAGTGGCAACTTTAATTATGTCTTTTCTGGACTTAAGCTTAGTAGACCCGGGATGGAGAGATGGTATCCATGACTTCGCTTTATTTAATTCTTTATAAGCTTTCTTGGCGGATCTGGATATTTCTATATGTTTTTGTATAGTGTTCATTCTGTGAATTTTATAGCATCTTTTTATTTCTTTGTTGGTAGTCTTATAAAGTTCTTTGAGTTTAACTTTATCATTTGTATTCAATTTAGTTTTATTTTGTAGTTTACTTCTTTGTTTCATTAGATCCAGCGCTTTTTCAGATAGAATCTTTGGCTTCGTGTGACTTTTAATACTTTTTAGACTTTCTAAAATAGAGTTTGTAATTTTTTGGCAATATTCTTCTGCTTCATAGATTTTATGATTAATTAACAGTTCAGGTATGTAGTGTTTTAGGTTTTCTTGGTAAATGTCCTGGTTCTCGATAGTTTTTAGTTTCTTCGGTGTCATTGCATATTTGCGTCTACTTTTTTTCGTTGGTTTCAAGCAGATTGTTGCTCTCAATAATCTATGGTCTGAATTGAAGGGAAATGCAGATAATACTTTAAATTTAGTAAAAAGGTGTGGATTTGATGTCAATATATAGTCGATCTCGTTTCTTGTATTTTTATCGGGAGAGATCCACGTCCATCTGTTTTTCGGTTTGAGCTTGAACATAGTATTGACGACCTTCAGATTATACTCCTGTGCATATTGAATGAGTCTTTCTCCGCGAATGCTTCTGCTTCCATAACCATGTTTTCCGGTAGTAGAAAATTCGTGTTCCTTCGGCATTCCAATTTGTGCATTGAAATCCCCCATAGAAATAATATAATTTGAAGAGGTACAATCGTGAGCATGCGCCATGTCCTCGTAAAATTTGTCTATATCGTCTTGAGTTGAATTTTCTGTAGGCGCATATGCCTGAATTACTGTAAAAGGTAAGTTTTCTAATTCTATTTCTAGTACACAAACTCTCTCTGATAATCCGATAAATGTTTTAATATTATTTTTTAGATTTTTCTTTACCAGGAATCCCACACCGTAAAGGCCTTTAGTTTGGCCTTTGTAATACATAATATAGTCATCATCTTCGATTATATTCTCGCCTAGTCGACGGACTTCACTTAATCCTAATATATCATGGTTAATGTTTTTCAGCGCTGCCTTAAGTTCAATTAATTTTATTTCGGAAGAAAGTGATTTGACGTTCAAGGTACAAATGTTAAATTTTTTCATAGTTTTTTTGTTTTTACTTGGAGGGTTTTGGTCAATCTCTCCCGCGGGGACCGGCCGTACTGGGAGATTGCTAGGGTGAGGAGGGTCGAACTGTTGTTGCTATTCTGCATTCTGTTGTGTATCCATCAGTTGAGGATAAGATGAGTCTATTTTAGTTTTGGAAAACGTTAATTTTGGTTTTTGAATTATGTAATCTTTCATGTTGGCTTTATTCTTTTTTATTGGTTGTTTACCACGTTGATTGTTAAGGTAGTTTGAATTTGATGGCTCTGGGGATTCAGACAAGTTTCTCTTATTTAATTGTTTTCTGGATATGTCTTTATTGCTCTTCGTTATTATAAGTTTGTCGTATTTTATAAATGCAATATTGCCTGCCTCTCTTTCCTTCATCAGTTGTTCTTGTAATTCCTTACGCTTGATTAAAATATCTTTTGGGTAGTCTTCCTTTATATAGTAGGACGTATTATTCAGGCAAGACTTGTTTTGCAAAATCGTAATCTTAAAACCAAGCGTAGTGAATGATATAACAATTGGCCTAGTTTTCTCGCCTTTCTTACCCAGTCTTCTGACTCCTTCGAAATAGCTTTTGTCACATTTTAATTTAAAGTGATTTTGAATTAAATCAATTATTATATCTTCGAGTTCGTGGTACGATTTTTCGCGTTCTTCAACGCCAAACATAACTATGTTTCTTCTTCTATTGTATCTTTCCAAACTCTTTATTTTTTCACTATGTTCTTCTATTTGTTTTTCTAATTGTTCGCTTTTTAATTCTAGGTATTTAAACTTCTTGTTGATGTTACTGTTTATTGCGTTTTTTATGTCTTCTTTCATAGCTTCCATATCCTGTTTTTGTTGTTTTATGTCGTTCTGCATTGTAATTAACATTTGTTTGATTTCATCCATAGCTTATAATACAGAGCGCTTTCGCGCTTGTTCGTTGTTTCTATGTAAATATACTCAATGGTGTAAATTGCAAATGATTAACAGATGGCAGTATCAGTGATCTTGTTTTGCAATTATCTGCTCAAACCGTGTCGTTGAACCGTAGTAGACATAGATGGCGCTTTCACGTTACGTTAAATTGCAGAGTTGTTTAAGTTTGATTTAATTTTAGGTTAGAACATTTTCTTTCAGCATATGCACTTTTAACGTAGTATGCAAAAAATTATGACTACTAAATAGGCACCAAACACAATTGTTTACACTTTTTAGATCAGATGACCGTTTAATTACAACTGTAAGTCACTTTAGTTGCATCGTATTCATCACAATTTACACAGAATTAAACGGTTTTACACCAAAATCTTCATAACGCACAAGTGCATTTACACACTGTCGGTAACGTTTAACACTTTTTATAACACTTTAAACGACTGGATGATTATTAAAACTAAATAAACTCCTCGAACGATGTACACTGTGGCACTGTGGCGCCCTCTCTCTCCCTGTAACTTATAGCTATTTAAAAATGTTACAAATGCGAGAGTTAAGATGGATGTTTGTTCGAGTTTGTAGCCTAAACTATTTATTGAACGGATCTCGATGAAATTTTGCATAAATGTAGAGTCTGGACGAACTCATAGGCTGTGTACTTTTGATTTTTAATTCCACGCGGGAGCAGTCGCTGGCAAACGCTAGTAACAACATAAAAATATATATGGCTTTTAGGTTGAAGCTTAAAATCTTCATAAAATAGTTTTTTTTATTAAGTAGCGTTAGTAGGAATTGAAAAAAATGGAAATCCAAGCGGTAGGGAGTCGTGCGGAAATAATGAAACGGTAAGACTTCGATTTGCTGACGGAATAATTGCCGTAGGGTTTTATCTGCATTTAATATTCAATGTCCTGTCTGTCACTTTTTAAAAGACATAATCAAAAACACTTTAATATTCAGTTGACAACAAAATTCGAAAGTTATTTCCAGGAAATTTCCAGAAATATGCAATAATAAATTATATAACAGTGGTTTTTACCAATACGAATACAGGATGAGTCGCTGGTCCACCATTCTTCATCCTAGAACCTAGAACTATAACACGAGATCGTCTACTAGTCGCATTAATTCCTTTACGCACACCTGACAAAACTATCGCAGAACTGTTTACCCGCGCTTTGATTCCTATGACCTTATACTACTCGATTTACTTTTGCAACTAAACAGTTAAATGGGCTGCGAAACAACCGACAATCGCACACCAGTTTTGCGATAGTTTACTCAAAGTTGTGCGTCCGCTCTTAGTATGAATATTCTGTTGGCACGCGTAATACCAGCTCGTTGCCTTCACTACAAGGTGGGTGTGTCTGAACGTCATAGATTATGCGCAGTTAATACTTTGTAATACACACACACCTTTATTAAACTAGTAACTATTAATATCAATTCTATTTGTTTTCGTTAAAGTCCAATTTACTTTATCCTTTCAAAATTTAACCATTTGATCTTTGTAAAATGTTTTTACAAATTCACATCACAATTAACACGTTATCGTATCTATTTGGATAAATTTTGAGAATTTATTATGTAAGTTTTAAAATAAAATTCGACCTCAGAACGACCTTTATTTTATTTAGTCATTCAGACGTAAAACCTGTTTGTAAGTTTATATCGCATATTCAATGTAATTAACTACTTCGAAAGATGTCTCATTTGGTAAAATCTTAAAATCAGGGAATAAAAGTTGAACAAGTATTTCAAATATTAAAACTCTATACTTCAACGTGTAGTAAATCTTCTTCACTATATTATTAGACAACTTATTTAATTGATACTGTCGCTTTAAACTCAGAGCATTACCTCTCGCCAGACTTAGGATGCGCGCCAAATCTATCCATACTTCTAGTGACATTGACAGCTGTCAGCTAGGGACGTGCCGTTTATGCCGATAATCTAGAG